TAGTGCTCACTTTCCCTCCCACCTTCATTGTTTACTCCCCAAATCCCCTCACCTTCCCCATTTTTCCCCCTCCCACACACACATCCCCTACAAACCCTTGCATCAGTTATTATCTCTATGCACCTACTCCTTCTGTGCTTTAAAAACTGGTAAACTCAAAAGAAACACACACACACACAAAAACGAAGTGGTAAGGTTAAAACAAATAGTAATATAACGATTAAAATACAAACAGACAAAGAATGTGTTTTTTTATAGAATTGGAAGTTGATCTAGGAAGAGCCATTTTTGGTTGTTTAGAACTGCCGACCATGTAGTCCACAGCTCAACATGTAATCACTACAATATCAGGACTCCTGTTTAGTTTTGTTCGGGAACCTTGAGAAAGAAAGTGCAATCAAAACAGTGGCTTCTGAAGAGATCTACTGAGCGAGATAAATTCCAGAGAGGTCAGCTCCAAAGGTTATGGCAACTGTTCTGAGATTCTAAGGAGGTAATCTTGGTAGACTTTTTTCAAAGGATCGTCATGAAGAAATGTTAAGAAAGTTGACGATACAATCCCACTTGAGGGGAATGGATAACAGAATGGCAGGGGAACAGATACATTGGATGGTATGATACAGATCCAAAAACAGGAATGATAATATTTAATAAACAGGTTCTTGGCTGGGAGGGTGGGAATAAAGGGAATTGATATTAAAGTGCAGGAAGAAAGAAAATGTTTTGAAAATGATGGTGGCAACAATTGTACAATCATGCTTTATCTAATTGAACTATGGATTTGTTATAAAATCTGTAAGAGTCCCCAATTTTTAAAAATGGGAAAAGAAAATTGAAAACTGCATTGGTGAGGAAAAGGCCAGGAAAGTTGCACTGAGGAATTTTTTGCTGTCAGGACAATGCACCTACTCATTCTTTGAGAATACCCAGCACTATTCTAGAAGATTTTCATGGGAAACCCTACCCCATCCAACTACAGCGCTCATCTTGCTCCTTCCTGACTCAGAGGAACATTGAAAAGGAACGTGATTTGAGTCCCTGAAGGATGCCCAAACTCATTTTAATGTATAAATTAAAGAATACAGAATTGTTTGGAGAATGGTTAGGGATATGGAACTGCCATCTTCAGAAGGGTGTAGACCTAAAGGGAAAGA